GGGCTCCTTGGTTCCACTTCCCACCCCCCCATGAGACAGAGAAGCATGGAAAGAATTCTCTGAACTGTTGCAGAGTGAAATAAGTAGAACTAGAAAAACAATACACTGAAAGGGTAGCACTTCACAGTATGGCTAATAAATTTCTGTGCCCCCTCCCCAGTTCTAAATGCGGCAGAACTGCTGTGAATCTGCCCCAACAAAGGGAGTTTCCTTACTGGGAGCTTACCAATGAAACCACAGGCCTGGATTTCCCCCCAAAATTCTTTTAGAAGTTTTTGTTTCAAAAAGGAGATTTTACTTCAGAAGTTAGAACTCCTACAAAGTAGTCAACAAAGAGGCAGCTGGCTGTTTTGGATTCCCAAAGAAAATGCTGACTGGAAGTTTCCTTGGTCTTTCCACAAGTTTAGTGAATCGATATCAGTCAACAAGAATTTATTGTGCACTTAATATGTTGATAGGCAGTATTCTAAGCACTGGGGTTAGAAAGACAATGAAACAGTTATTGTCCTCAAGGTGCTTGAATTCTATTGGGGGAAAGAATAGTACTTTACTTAACATCTGGAAAGTGAGCCCCCTTCTCTCCTCTGACCTGGCCACCACTCTAGGGCAGGCCTTCATCACCTTGAGCCTAGGCTATTGCAATAGTCTGCTGATTGGTGGGTCTGCCTGCCTCCAGTCTTTCCCCACTCCAATCCATTCTCCACCCAGTTGTATGATCTTCCTAAAGCATAGGTCTTCCCATATCACACCCTCTCCTCAATTCAATAAACTCCATCAGCTCATGGATGAAATTTTAAATCTTCTATTTGGTGTTCAAAATCTTTTATCACCTAGTCCTTTCCTACTTTTCCAGTCTTCTTACACCTTACTCCCAGTGGCACTGGCCTCCTGGCTGTTTTTTGCACAAGGCACTCCCCTCTCCCAACTTTGGGCATTTTCACATTTTCAATGTGTCCTTCATCATCTCTACAATGGTTTCTTTCAAATCTCAGCTGAAGTTCCACCTTCTGCCGGAAGTTGTTCCTGGTTCTCCATAATCTCATTGTCTTCCCTCTGAGATAAATTCCATTTTATCCTATATATCAATGTTTTGTATATGGTTATTTACATTGTCTTCCCCATTAGACTACTTGAGAGCAGGGACTGTCTTTTGTCTTTGTATTCCCTACTCTTAGGGCAGTGTCTGTCATATAGAAGGTGCTTAATAAATGCTTATTGACTGACTGAGTGATAGTATGTGTGTGTCTATGGATTGGAGCACACCCCATGGAGTATGGCTGAGAAGGAGCCTGTTGGAGACAAGCTCAACTTTGTGAGGTGAGTAGTGAAGGTAATATTATTATTATTCTACCCACAAGAAAATTAAGGATGAGAGAAGACTAGTCACTTGTCAGGGCCACCTGGCTACTATGTCAGAACTGGAACTTCAATTTGGGACTTTAGACCAATGAGTTTTCCTCTAGGAGATGACCTAGGAATATAGATTTTAGAGTTGCAAAGGACCTTGAGACAATCTGATCCCCTGTCTTCATTTTGTGGAAAAAGAAACTGAGGCCCAGAGACAGAAAAGTTATTGCCTCAGGACGCATGACTAGTAAGTTGCAGAAACTGGTTGAACTCAGGTGTTTTACTTGAAGACCTGTAATTTTTACTTGGAAATCTGTGATTTTTCTATTCCACCCCACTGGAGGAATTTATCTCCAGTGGAGAAATACCTCGAGTCAGTAAATAGCTTCTAGGTATAAAATGATTTTTTTGCTTAGGGAACTTGAAAGCTACTTTTAAATATTGAAATGTGTACTCACTGTCCTAACCTTTTAAGAGATCTCCAGCAGTTCACTTTATTTGCAAAACTTTTGCACCTTTTTTTTTTTACAAACAATAAATGGTTCATTTGTAAAATTCAAAAATGACTTAATAACAAATGACAAAAACATAACTAGCATTTCCTTATACTAAATATAACAGAAAAAAGAGACTTGTGCATGAAACCACAAAACCCTATTATGTACAGCTTGTTTTTCTTTTTAAATACACATATATACACACACAAATATACATACACACATATACACACAAATATATGCAATCATAATATATAATATATACATACATACACACATATACATGCAAATATATACTCCATATTAAAATATGTGTGTATATACATGTATGTATGTATATTTAACATATAACTTTCAAAGCTTTCATGCTTATCTGTGTTTCTTTCCTGCCTTCTTTCTCATCTGTTCTGTGCATTTTAAAAAAATGTTCAATGATACTCTTTGGACTCCTCCTCCACAGTGGAAAAATAAAGAAAGACAAATTGTGCCTGGTTGTTATTTTCTATGCATTTTTACCTTTGTCTAAAAATGTCTTCAGACAATAGAAATTCTTGTTGGGGTTTGAAGTCATACATTTTCATTTCTAATCTTGGTGACCCAGTTGACTTTTCTCCGGCTCTTCAAAAGGTCTTCCGAGCTCCTAGTGTGAGTTTGCTAATTGGATGCTAGGTGAAGCAACTGTTAGAGCCAATAGAAAATCGCTGTGGGGGAAGAAATGCAAAGATTGAGTCACACCCAGATGACTGGAGTCAAATACTGTGTCTTCATGCATTGATAGTTATCAGTGCCCTTGTTTCTTGTCATTATCATCAGTTGACATTGAGGTCATCATGTTGATTCTGGCTTTTGTCCTACCACCTCCTTGGCAAATTGCTGTCTATTCTGGTAGTTGGGTTGGGAGTTGGGGGAGGAGGGGAGATTTGGATCAAGAGTCCCAGTGGGCCAAAATCTATCCTTGGTTTAGGAATTAGTTTTAATTGAGGGCCTGACAAATTGGCTTCTCAGTAGTCCCCAGGGCCCACTGGGGGGCCCTTCATCTTCCTGAGGCTGGAGGCCCCTCTTTGTGGCTTAGGAGGCTATTGGGAGTCTGAGGATTGGCACAAGTAAAGACTGAGAAGGTAATTGGGGAAGTGGGGTAGAATCTCAATGGCTCTTCTATCTGTGCGTAGAAAAATATTTTTACATGTAAACTATCAAAAGCCATCTGTGTGTTGTTAGGAATAATATGGAGATGTGAAGATAGGAGTGGGGGGAAACTGAATAAACTATTCTATGAACAGCCCATTTAAGCATCTTTTTATAGCAGAAGGAAGTAGGATTTGGAGTCAAAAGACATAGGTTCAAATTCCACCTCCAACACATGGCCTGGGACAAGTCACTTCATCTCTCTCTGAGCCTCAGTTTCTTTAGTTGCAAAATGGAGACAATAATATCTGCTTTGCCTATTGCATAGGGTTGTTGTGAGAAAAGCACTTTGAAAAGTGTCATAGAAATGCGAGCTCACCATCTATCAGTGTTGTAGCAACTTTAAAAAATAGAATATTATCATTCTCTTTGATCACAGCTTCTTAACCTTCCAATTCTCTTACTTTCTCTTTGCCCTCCTTATTTTCTCCAAACTAATTCTTATTCACCCAGCCCAACTGAATTCTCATGCTTCCATACTGAGCCTTGATCCTTCCGCTTGTCACTTTATTGTCTCGCCATGCTATGCTCTCTTTTCTAGAATGTCTTATCTTCCTGACCTGCTGTTCCCACCCCACAAGTCCTTTTATACCTGGTAAACTCCCACCGCTCATTTCTCTGCTCCGTCTCCCAGGCTAGTGAGAATCACTAGAGAACAAATTCATAGCTCACAGCTTATAATTTCAACTGGGTCCTTGCTACTGTTAAACAATCCTATTTTACTCTCATAACATCTAATCTAATCCAATCCAATCCAATATGATAAAGTCTCACAAGAATTTATTGAGCACCTACTACAACACACAAGACAAGTGCTGAGGAGGCAATGAGAGCAGCTGTTCTAAATTTTTTTATTCTCTCAAACATCCACATTTCCCTCCCTTCCACCAACCTTTTAGCACTTATGGTAGCTTAGTGTTGGCACCGGTTTAATCTATATTGTCTGGTGTATAGTCTTCTATATATACTTTCTCTGGTTTCTTTTTTGCTACTGACTTGGATAAGTGGATTTATTTGCTATTTGCTTTGTGTGTTCATTGTGGAATTGATATTTGGTGGGAAGGATCAAGCCTTATATATGAAGCCTGAGGTCTTCCTTCCTCAATAAGGAAAAGCAATCAGGGATTTAGCTTGAACCTAAGAATTTTATCCCCTAGGCTAATAACATTTAAGGGAGCAGATGGATATAATTCTAACCAGTTATCCTCTTGCTCTGAGGAGAGCAGAATGGGCAGCCTTTAGCCCCAGTCTCCTGGAATCAGTCTTCCTTGGAGAAGGTGGAGGGAAGAGATGCTAGAGATGTTTATTCTTGCTTCCCTTTGAACCACACACACGACCTTCTCCCCACTTGCTTATATATATATATATATATATATACACACACACACACACACACACACACATATAGTATTAAACATATATATGTATAGTATTAAGTATAGTATATATAGAGTATATATATGTATAGTGTTAAGAGTCCTGACTTGAGAGTCAGAAGACCTGGGTTCTAATCCTGTCTCTTAAACTTACTAACTGTATGGGCAGCTAGATGGAACAGTAGATAGAGCACCGGCTCTGAAGTCAGGAGGACCTGAATTCAAATCTGGCCTCAGACCAAACACTTGACACTTACTAGCTGTGTGACCCTGGGCAAGTCACTTAACCCCAACTGCCTAAAAGAAAAAACTAAAATTAAAAAAAAAAGTATGCTTCATTCTGCACTCAGAATTCATCAGTTGTCTCTTTGCGACACAGCACAGGTGAATAGCATTTTTCATCATGAGTCCTTTTGTCTTGGATTATTGTATTGATCAGAGTAGCTAAGTCACAATTGATCATTGTTACAATATTTCTATTACTGCATACACCGTTATTCTGGTTCTGTAGTGGTCTGATTATTGTTCACCTCTGCTAGGTGGTACAGCGGATAATGAGCTGGGCCTAGAGTCAGGAAGACTCATTTCCCTGAGTTCAAAACTGAATCTAGACACTTACTAGCTGTGTGATCCTGGGCAAGTCACTTAACCTGGTTTTCCTCAGTTTATTCATCTGTAAAAAAGTGAGCTGGAGAAGGAAATGGCAAACCACTTCAGTATCTTTGCCAAGAAAACCCAAATGGAGTCACAAGGAGTCAGACATGATGAGAAACAACTGAACAACTGCTCTTAAACCCAATTAGGACTGAAGAAATCTTACGGTGCTTTTTTTTTTTTTTTTTTTTTTTTTTTAGCATTTTTGAATACCTCATTCCACTGCCTGCTTTTCCCTGTATATTCATTCTTTTGACATTCTTCTTTACCCTGAAAGCTCCCATATAGTTTTCCTGCCCTTGTCTCCCCCTGATGATTATCTGTTCTTTTCTTTGTCATGAGAATGTCCTTTCTGGGCTTTGTCCCTTGTCTGTCTCTCATTACTATAACCACTAATCCAGCCTCTAGCCTTGGTTCAACCTCAGGATTCTCCCTTAGGTCAGGGATGGTACATGGCAGTCTTTAGACAGGGCTGGCACATGGGGCTATATTTATCCTGAACCCTGCCCCTTTCTTCTCTTAACTCTTAAAGTTAGAGTTGAATAATAACATTAGCAGTGACAGCAACATCACCATTTGCTGACATTTGTATAGCACTTTAAGGTTTGCAAAGTGCTTGGCATGGTAGATGATTTCTGAGCTCATCTGGCCTAGCCTGAGTGGGCTGAGATTCTGAGTGGAATCCCTTCTACAATATTAGACAAGGGCTCATCCAGCCTCTGTTTGAAGACGTACCTATTACTTGGGGCAAAGGCATTCTGCTTTTGAATAGCTCTACCGGTGAGGGAGAAGTTCTTCCTTAACCTATATTGACCTTTCTGTAGCTTCCAGCCATTTCTCCTGGTTCTGTTCTCTGGGGCCAAGCACTCTTCTTTCATGTAACTACACTTAATGTTTGGTGATGGCTATTCTGTTCTTTTAAGTCCTGTCTTCTTCAGAATTCACATTCTTAGCTTCTTCAACACACCTTCTTATAGCCTAGTCTCCAGTCTTCTTGCCATTCAAGTCTGCAGGTGCTTTGGGTTATCAATTTCCTTTCTAAAATGTGATGCCTGGAACTGAACATAGTAATTCCAGATGTGCTCTGACTAGCTAGGTAGTGTCGTGAATAAAGTACTGAATCTGGAGTTGGGAAGACCTGAGTTTAAATCTGGCCTTAGACACTAACCAACTGTGTAACCTGCACAAGTCAATTAGCCTCTCTCTGCCTCAGTTTCCCCAACTGTAAAATAAGGATAATAATAGCATCTACTCCCCAATTTTGTTGCAAAGATCCAATAAGAAAATATTTGTATAGTACCTAGCACATAGTAGGACCTTAATAAAAACTTGTTCTCTTCCTTTCCCTAGTATTGCCTCTCTTGTTCTAAATTCCATGCTTCTCTGGGTAGCCTAAAATAACTTTAGTTTTTTTTTGTTTTTTTTTTTTGATGGCTATATCACATTGTTCTCTTAAAATCTTTTTCATACTGTCAACCTTCAGTTCCCAGGCCCTTGCCATAGAGACACTGGACTCTGGAAATGTCTTTTTTTCTTTTATTTCTTTTTTTTTAATTTTTAATTTATTGAGTAAAATAGCATTTTTTATAATATAGTATAATTAAAAAAACAATGATTACACATGAAACTGCAAATCAATTATGTACAACTTGCTATTTCTTTTAAATATAAAATTATCAAGTAAATTTCTTTTTTTTCCCCTTTTCTCCCTCCCCTTGCCCTAGAGATGACAACCATTAGACACAAATATGTATATAAATGTAAAATTATTCTATACATATTTCTATTTATTAATTCTTTCTCTGGATGCAGTGTCTTCCTTCATATGTCCTTTGTAGTTAATTTGGGTATTTGTAATAGTCAAAATGATTTTATTCGCTCAAAGTTGTTCTTAAAAAAATACTGCTGTTACTATATACAATGTTCTCTTGGTTCAGCTCATTTCACTCTTCATTATTTCGTGCAAGTCTGTCTATGTTTTTCTAAGGTCACTGAGCTCATCATTTCTTATACCACAGTATTCTATCTGGAATTATGCCCAAAGAGTTATTAAACCTATATCCTTTGACCCAGCAATATCATTACTAGGTCTATTTCCAAAGAAGATTAGGGAAAAAGGAAAATAATCTATATATTCTACAATATTTATAGCAGCTATTTTTGTGGTGGCAAAGAACTGGAAATTGCCAGCATGCCTATCAATTGGGGAATGACTGAACAAGTTGTGGTATATGATTGTGATGGCATGCTACTGGGAATGTCTTAAGAGACTGTCCCAGATTTTGCCACTTTGGTGATACTTTTAGTAGGGCATCAAGAACTTTGGGTAGGAGAAGCCACAAGAGTTTCAACACATCCAGATAAGTTTGTTGTTGCTTTGACATTGTCGTTGAGACTTTGGGGTGGAAGATGCTGGGAGAAAATTTGTCTTGAGAGCCACAGGTCTGAGAATTAGAAGTATTAGAAGGAAACACTTTGGTGTGAGA